TGGTGCATGCCTTTAATCACAACCAGGGTGGGAAGAGTTCTTAACGAATTCATCTTACACCGTTTTTCCAAACATACTCATTTAAAGCTCAGAAACAGCAGACCTTTAGAAGTCCCTCTCATTTGCGGGAGGAGAAACACGGGGGTTCAACTGCAGCTAGCTTGAGGTTCCGCCATTCTTTATGGAGATGGGCCACACATGCTGGCCTCCCACAGCTGCCACTGGCTCCCCAGAAGCCAAGGGCTTTTACAGAAGCACCCTTCAAGGGCACCCATAGCAGTGACAGGCAGAGCTGTGTCTGGGATGCCAAGCAGATAGGAGGGCTTCAGCCAGAACCAGAGAGGGACGTGAGAGGAAGGGCTCTGCAGCACAGAGCACAGAGCAGAAGTGACTGACGAGTTCTGGTTTTCTCTGCAGCACCCGTGCCTCCCACAGCTCCTCCTTCCCCGGGATACTACCATGTCCTCTACAAAGAGCATGCACAAGCCCAGATGGCCTGGCATGGAGAGACATACTGCCTGATTGGAGGCTACCGTGTCTATGGGGATGCTCCGCTGGCCACCCCTGCAAAGGCTGAGGAAGAGAAGCCAGCACCCAGGCGGGCTCTCAAGAGACAGAGAGTTCAGGAGGAGTCAGACCAAGATCTAGGGTGTCCTAGTGCCAAAATTCCTCGCCTGAAAATGAACCATGGTGGCAAAGGGGTATCCCCATAGAAGCATGCTGCTTGAGCTTCTCTGCTGCCCAGAGGACAAGCCGTTAGCTGCCTCAGAGGGCTGAGCCCTCTTCAGCGATGACCTCCACTGACCACCGATGTAGACAGGACCGTAGCTGTTCTTTCTGCCCGTGCCCTCTCCAGTCAGGAACCCACTTGCATGCCAACTAGCCATGAGCAAGAAGCCTCAGAGAGAGGAGCAGCTGCTCTGAACAGCCCACCCTCCCTCAGTCTTCTAGAGTCTCTTCTTGGGCAGGAAAAAGGAACAGTCTGCTGTGAGTTGAGGGACAAGTGCAGAGAGAGGATACAGAGGGCCCAAGCTGGGGCTGTCTCTAGGAGTAGACCTCTGCTCTGAATCCTGCCAGCAGCCAGCAGCAGCACAAGCCAGGAGCGGCTGCACTTCCTAAAACTAGAAGCAAAAGCAGTGGCTGACCAAGGAGGCTCCTGCCTAAGTCTCAGGAGGCAGCTGAGGAGCCCCAGGGAGACCTGCTGGCTGGAGTGAGAACACTGTGGACGAAGTCCAGCAACCCTCCCTCCTCCTGCAGAGACAGACACTTTTCTTTATTTCCAGCCCATTTTGGAAACAGTAGGATCCTTTCTGCCCAATAAAATGTTTTTCTGTGACAGGGTTTGAGTTGAAATTCAACTTATTCAATGCTAAGCCTCAAACATCTCTCTTCTCTTAAAGTATATTCCTACACAGAGGACCTGGGATTTCTACCTTCAAAAAGGACACTTGACAGGTACATCTTCTTCTGTACGACTCTTACAAATGATGGTGATTCAAATGAGGCAAGACCCAGTTCTTTAAGAAATGGAAAGACAGGAGCCGGGCGGTGGTGGCGCACGCCTTTAATCCCAGCACTCGGGAGGCAGAGCCAGGCGGATCTCTGTGAGTTCGAGGCCAGCCTGGTCTCCAAAGCGAGTTCCAGGAAAGGCGCAAAGCTACACAGAGAAACCCTGTCTCGAAAAACAAAAAAAAACAAACAAACAAAAAAAATGGAAAGGTTGGGATGTACTCAGTGGTAGCCTGTGCACTTTAATATGCACGAGCGCCGGGCGGTGGTGGTACACACCTGTAATCCCAGCACTCGGGAGGCAGAGGCAGGCGGATCTCTGTGAGTTCGAGGCCAGCCTGGGCTACAGAGTGAGTTCCAGGATAGGCTCCAAAGCTACACAGAGAAACCCTGTCTAGAAAAACCAAAAAAAAAAAAAAAAAAACCCAAAAAACAAACACACAAAAAACCAATTTGACCAGCTCCTCTAATGCATTTTTAAATTGCAAACATTTTCAGAAAATTAAATTGTTGAATACATAGTACAAAAACTAAAAGTAAGTGCATTGAAATTCACATTATTTGGGCCAAGAAGAAGGCTCAGTTGCTGATGTGCCTGAGGTGCAAGCATGGGAACCTAAATTCAACCTCTAGAACCCATAATTAAAACAAAACACAGTGAGTGCTGTTTGTGCTGGTCGTCCCAGCTCTGCAGAGGTGGGGACAGGTGGACCCCTGAGGTTCCCTGCTCAGCCAGTCTCGCCGACGTGGGGGTTCCAGGCCCTCAGAGACCCGGTCTCACAAAAAGGGTGGCTGGCTCCTGAAAAAGCATCTGAGGTTTACGTCTGACCTCCACATGCATACCCACCCACACATGAACCCTCCAACCCACCACATTATTTTATATTTATATAGTTCATTTAAACCCAAATCAGAATTTATTATATTTTACATTGCTTGCTGGCTTCCCCCCACCCCACAATCTCACTCTGTAGCGAAGCTGGCTTGGAATTCACTGTGAAGACCAGGTTGGCCTTGAACTCTTGTCAATCCTTCTACCTCAGTCTACTAAGTACTGGGATTACAAACATAAGCCACAACAGCAATATTGTTTTTCTTTTTCTTTCTTTTTTTTTTTTTTCAGTTTTTTGAGACAAGTTTTCTCTGTGTAGCCCTGGCTGTTCTGGAACTTGCTCTGTAGACCAGGCTGGTCTTGAACTCATACAGATCTGCCTGCCTCTGCCTCCCAAGTGCTGGGATTAAAGGCATGAGCCACCACAGCCTGGCTATTTTTTCCTTTCTTAATAGAAGCAAATTCAACAACTTTACAAAACCCTACTTTTTTTTTTTTTTTTTTTTGGTTTTTCGAGACAGGGTTTCTCTGTGTAGCTTTGCGCCTTTCCTGGAACTCACTTGGTAGCCCAGGCTGGCCTCGAACTCACAGAGATCCGCCTGGCTCTGCCTCCCGAGTGCTGGGATTAAAGGCGTGCGCCACCACCACCCGGCCAAAACCCTACTTTTTTTTTGTTTACCTCCTATTCATTCTTTCTTATTTCTGTTTGTGTGTGCATGTGGGTGGGGGTATGTAGGTATTTGCATGTGTATTTGTGTATATGTTTGTATATGTCTGAGCTCAATCTCAGTGTTCTTCCTCAGGAGCATCCCCTGTGAGTTTGTGTTGTTTGTCTTTAGACAGGGTCTCCCATCTGATCTGGAGTTTGGGGATTAGGTTAGGCTGTCTGTCTGTCTGGTCAGTGAGACCCATGGATCTGTCAGTCTCCAACTCTCCAGTTACAGCTCTGAGGGGAAAGGCTTCCTCTATGGAAGTGTTACAGCTCTGAGGGGAAAGCTATCCTGGCAGTCCTGAGCCAAGGAATACTACAAAGTCACACTGCACAACAAACCTCACACAAGAAATTTATTGGGAGAGACACAAGAGGGTGGCTGCCTCTGCTTGGGTGAAAAGAAGCAGGACACTGAGCTGGAAACCAAGCCGGACAGGCTTATGTAGGGTTTCTTGAGGGAGGAGTTTTCCAGGGTAGAGATTTCCAGGGTGGGGATTGGTGAGATTTCAAGCCAAGCTCAGGGATTGGTGAGGTTTGGTAGGTTTTCAAACCCGGAAGTGGTCTTAGACCTTTTACTCTATACATATCATAATGCCATAACAATGGGCTTTCCTCTTTCCTTTTTTCCTTTTTCTTTTTTCCCCTTTCCCCTTTCCTTCCCTTTCCCTTCCGTCCCTTCCCCTCCCCTCCCCCTTCCTTCCTTCCTTCCTTCCTTCCTTCCTTCCTTCCTTCCTTCCTTCCTTCCTTCCTCCCTTCCTTCTTTTTTCTTTCTTTAATGTGTAAAAGTATTTTGCCTGCATGTATATATGTGTATCACATGTGTGCCTGGTGCCCATGGAGGTCAGAAGAAGGTGTTGGATCTCCTGGAACAAGTTATGTATGGTTGTGAGCCACTGTTTGGCTGCTGAGAATCAAAAACAATTACTCAGGAAGAGCATCCAGTGCTCTTAACTACTGAGCCATCTCCAGCCCTGGGGCTTTTTATTTGTTTTGTTTTTCGAGACAGGGTTTCTCTGTGTAACACTGGCTGTTCTGGAATTTGCTTTTTAGACCAGTCTGGCCTCGAACTCAAGGTGTGCACCAACACGCTTGGTTGGGGCTTTTTAAATTTTGAGTTTGAGGAATTGAATTCAGGTCCTCATGCTTGCACTTTACTGACTGAGGTATCTTCCCAGCTCTCATTTTTTTATTTGTTTATTTTTCTTATGAGACATGTTCCCATGTATCACAGTCTGGTTACATAGTTCAGGCTGACCTTGACATTTCTGCTCTTCCTGCCTCTGCCTCTCAAGTGCTGGAGTCACAGGTATGCATCACCAAGCCTGGTTTTATGCAGTGCTGGGGGTCAAACCCTCCTGGCAAGGCAAGCACTCTACCAACTAAGCTACATCAGCACCCCAGTATTATCTCTTACTGTTATCTATTATTATTACTGCAGTTGCTATTAATTTCCACTCAGGCCCTGGGAGTGGGGTGGAATGGATGCCTAAATAGTTTGTACCTGGTAGAGAGGAACTTCCTGGGTGGGGCCTGAGAGATCACCACATCAAAATTAGTCCAACCATCAAACAGTCCCATCACCCACTATGTGTTGTGGGCTTTGTCCAAAGAAGAATGAAGGTTATTCATGATCCAGTGAGATTCCCTTCTTAGGAATCTAAAGAATTCTCTGAGAGATTGTATGGTGGGAGTCAGTGGTTCAGTTTGTGGATTGAGATGAAATACTCAGAAAGACCCCTAAATTCTAGACCTCTTCCCTGAAGCCAGACCCACCCCACTGGCTTCATCTGGTGCTGACCCCAACCACCTGGGTTGTGCAGATCACTCACAACTTCCTTGAGCAAATGGTGACTGAAATGCCACGTTCCGCAGAGTCTGTGTTACCCTACTCTATCACAGAGGACACTCACATCTGTTTCTACATTAAAAAAACATTTACTTCCAGAAAATGCCCTGCACAAGCAGAGGAGGTTCCAGGGTACCAGAATGACATCTGGGAGGACTGCATGGATCACCAAAGTCATACAATAAAGCCTAAAAAGGTTACAATGGTGAGGCATGACACTATGCAAGGAGAAGATTTTGAGTGTGAACACTTGGATGATAACTTGAGCGTATGATGTGTTGAGGTCTCTGATTGGTTCTCTCCTTGATACTGTTTCTGATGAAGTTGTGGCAAGACGGAGTGACAGGCACTGTCCAGCTGCTCCTCTGGAATCATGTCCTCCAAAGGACGTTGCCGTCTGTTTTTCTCCCGTACCTGGGGGTGACAGTTGTCAGTCAGCAGTTCTTCCAGGTCTCTTGTAGCCCATGATGTTATGGAAGCACCTGTTCAGACCCCGGGCACCGCTCTCTTGCCATCCTGCATACCTGTTCCACCTGTCCGAAGACCCGAAGCAGGTTTCCTCGAAGGACACCTTGCAGCTCCTGTTCACTCCAGCCCCGCCTCAGCAACTCCTCGATGAGCACTGGGTATGTAGACACGTCCTCCAGCCCCTGAGGGAACCTGTGTAGTCACCAGCAGGTGAGCCTCAGACCGGTATCCTAATCCAACTGAAAACTTCCACTCTATCTGAGATGCATCCTCAGCAATGGTCATGCGTGGGAATGGAGACTAGGAAGGAGGAAGTAGTTTGCTCCAGTCCTAATCCTTCAGAGGAAGTCTCAAACCTCTTTAAAAAATTGGGGTTGGGATTTAGCTCAGTGGTAGAGCACTTGCCTAGCAAGCGCAAGGCCCTGGGTTCGGTCCTCAGCTCTGGTGGGGTGGGGGGAATATACAGTGCTGAGCCAGGCGGTGGTGTCTCATGCTTTTAATCCCAGCACTTGAGAGGCAGAGGGAGGCGGATCTCTGTGAGTTCGAGGCCAACCCGGTCTACAGAGCGAGTTCCAGGACAGCCAGGGCTACACAGAGAAACCCTGTCTCAACAACAACATAAACTACAACAACAACAACAGGCAGAGAAGACAGCCAGCCCACACCAGACCTTGCTGACAGCTCAGAGGGAATGAATGGGTCTGTAACAGGTGCATGTGCTAGATAGACGAGCTTTCTCAGAGTATCTTAGTGGGGGCCTTGGGCTGAAGACATACAGGAGAGCTCAGGAAAGAGACGCTGGGGATGGAGAGATGTCAAATGGGCAAAGCCTCATAAAGGCTTTGAGGCCCTTGATGTGGTGAGAGCAGCTTCAGACCAGCCACAGAGGAGTACTCACTGTGCAGTGCCATCATAATCTCCACCAATCCCGATGAACTCGGATCCAATGACTGCCTTGATGTGGTCAAAGTGATCTGGGGAGATGGACAGTCAGCAGAATGGGGCTTCCAGGGGGAGAGTGGCCCTGGAACTAGGCTTGGCTGATCCCGTTCCTCCTCTGATTACAGTCTAAGATTTTTACTTCTTTTTGTACATTAAGCCATGACTTCACAGGGAACAGGCTCCAGCAGCTTGGGCTCCTTCCCATCAGTTCACACAAAGTGAACATCTCTGGGTGGAGGAGACTGGCGCTTCAGTTGACCTTTCTCAGGCGTCCTTTTCTTTCATTTTTCTCTTTTGTTTTTCTTGTTCTCCTTCACCCATTTCAGGAAGCTATCTTGGCTCTTACCTTAATATGCTCAATCTGAACACTTTCTTGGCAAGAATCTTGCCCTTGACTTGCTTGTTTACAACAAAGCCAACAGCATGCTGAGTGATATTGTAGACAGTTTTGCTAAGGTAACATTTAGGAGGTGCTCCTTTTTGATCAGTGGCTATCTCCTTGATGTCTACAATATCACCCTTCTTGTAGATTTGTATATATGTGGTCAAAGCAACAACTCTACATTTCTTTTCTTTCTTTTTTTTTCAGAGCTGAGGACCGAACCCAGGGCCTTGCCCTTGCTAGGCAAGCGCTCTACCACTGAGCTAAATCCCCAACCCCTCTACATTTCTTAAAAGGCCTAGAGAGAGCTGGAGAGATGGCTCAGTGGTTAAAAGCAGTGTCTGCTCTTTCAGAGGACCTGAGTTGGGTTCAATTTCCAGCACCCACGTGCTCATCTGTATTTTCAGTTCCAGGGGATCTGATGCCCTCTTCTAGCCTCTGTGGGCACCAGGCATGTGTGTGGTGCACAGACATGCAGGCAAAACACCTACACACATAAAAATAAACTACTAATAAAAATCAAAACAGCCGGGTGGTGGTGGTCCACGCCTTTAATCCCAGCACTCAGGAGGCAGAGCCAGACGGATCTCTGTGAGTTCGAGGCCAGCCTGGACTACAGAGTGAGTGCCAGGAAAGGCGCAAAGCTACACAGAGAAACCCTGTCTCGAAAAACAAAACAACAACAACAACAACAACAAAAAAACAAAAAAAAAAAAAGAAAAGAAAAAAATCAAAACAAACGAACAAAAGGCCTGGAGGAATTACAGAAGGTGCCTTTCTCCTTCCCCTTTGTGTTTGTCATTCTGACAAACTTGAATCACTGGAAGATGGCTTCTGTGGCCCACACAGCTTTCTCTCATTAGTTACTCCACATACCTGGCACCTGAACTCACACAACTCACCTCAGGCTGGAGTGAAAGCATTTGGAGGGCCACTGATTTAGTTCATATCCAACCTAACTCATCTTTGATTCCAGTCTGGAAAACCTGGCAGGGCCTCCTTTGGACAAGGCTGAAGGCAGGGGTTGAGTGCTTTGGTAGCCCGTGCAGAAGCACAAAGAGTTGGCACATCACTTTAGAACTGACCCCAAGCCCGCTAACAAGGCAGTTTGGATTAGTTGACTCTGGTTCAAGGTAGTACTAAAGTGCTGTGTGTACTGTCTGTCCATCATGGGACTTTTTTAAACCTTACTATTATTATTATTTTTGAAACAGGGTTTCTCTGCATAACCCTGCCTATCCTGGAACTTGCTCTGTATTATCAACTTGGAGGTTAATCCGGGCCTTCATAGGAGGCAAGCACTCTACAAATGAAACTACAGCCTAAGCTCCATCATGGCATTTTTGTCTAAACTGTTAAGGCTGTGCTGACACCCTGAAGTCTTCAGGTCAAACTCAGCACTATTCAGAAAGCCTAGGAGGGAATTGTTTCTAAATCTTTTTTTTTTTTTTTTTTTTTTTCCGAGACAGGGTTTCTCTGTGTAGCTTTGTGCCTGTCCTGGAACTTGCTTTGTAGACCAGGCTGGCCTAGAACTCACAGAGATCCGCCTGGCTCTGCCTCCCGAGTGCTGGAATTAAAGGCGTGTGCCACTACTGCCCGGAGTTTCTAAATCTTTATTGCTGAGCGTGGGCCTTTTCTGGGATTTACCTCAGAAAGTGTAAGTTTTTTCCTTTCTTCCCGTCTCCCTCTTATCTACTTCTTGCCTTCCCTCCTTACTGAAGATGCTGATGTTTACAACTTGTTTTTCCTGTTACATTGTCCTTTCAAGCCGGGTGGTGGTGGTGGTGGTGGTGGCGGCGGCGGCGGCGGCGGCGGCGGCGGCGGCGGCGGCGGCAGCGCACGCCTGTAATCCCAGCACTCAGGAGGCAGAGGCAGGCAGATCTCTGTGAGTTCGAGGCCAGCCTGGTCTACAGAGTGAGTTCCAGGACAGGCTCCAAAGCTACAGAGAAACCCTGTCTCGAAAAACCAAAACAACAACAACAACAACAACAAAAAAATTGTCCCTTCAAAGGCCAATAAAGTTGTCTTTGGGCTTTAAAAAAAGAAAGAAAGGAAAATTAAAAAAAAGATATATCGAGAGGCAGGTTTCAGGAGACTCACCTCCCACAGTGGATACATTGGCTAACGGGTTGCACTGCAACACTCCTACAGAGAATGTCACCATCACGATGCCACCATTCTTCCTCTGCAAGGACGGTCAAAAGGGCACTCAGCTCGGTTCCCCAGCAAAATTATGTGCCTACCTGCCCCTGTGAGACAGCTTTGGGGGCCAGAGGGGATTTCACCTCTCCAGCCTGTGTCATTGAGCAAGGCTTGACTCTGATTTAGGTGATGTCTTGGCCCTAAATTTGAGGGATATAGGAATATTTATCTGCAACAACCTCCCCACCCCAGGTCCAAGGATTTAGGAGCAATGGACTATGGGTTTGTGAGACAGATTGCTCAATCTAGGGGCTGAGGGAATGGAGAGGACAAGGGTTCAGCTTCAAGGCCTCCTGGTTTGAATTTCTTGATTCAGGTTCCAGGGCTAGAAAGTTTCTCACCAGAAGCCGCAGGATGTCATCAGGAAGATTCCGAGCATTTCTGCACACACCCCTGGCAGCCGAGTGGGAGAAGATCACAGGTGCCTGGGACACTTCCAAGGCCCGCCGTGCAGTAGCATCGGAGACATGGGACAAATCAACCATCATGCCCAAGCGATTCATTTCTGCCACCACCTTCTGTGAGGGCAGGTTAGGAGGAAGGTTTCAGGGGTACATAGATGCATGCATTTATCAACCGGAAAAGGGGCATGTGCACTTGTGCGGAGTGGAGTATCCCTCAGGGTCCTTACTTCACCAAAGCTGGTCAGTCCTTTGACGCTGCTGTAGAATGAGTGGACGTCCTTAGATGAGCTCTCTGCCCTGCATGACAGGCAGAAGGCAATCTAATTGGTGGTCATGCCCTTCCAAATTCTTCACCCCTGCAACCCCACAGAGCTAATTAAAAAACAACCCAGATTGGACTGTGCCTGGCAACAGGAAGAAACCCTGTCTTGCTTTGTAAAACCCCAAATACCAGCCCCTGTATATGAGTCCCAGACGATAAGGGTAAATCTTGGTCTACGTCTACAAGGGCAGACTTCTGCCTCAGTGGCCTCACACCATCTGCACGGTGCTCACCAGGGTGTATTGCAGGTGTGTGTGAGCGTCAGGTAGCGCACCCCCAACTGGTAGAAACTTCGAAGCACAGACAGGCTGTTATCTAGTGAGTGGCCACCCTCCACACCAATCAGGCAGGCCAATTTCTGGGTGCTGTTCAGAGCTGTAGGCATAGGTCAGATGGTTATTTTTAGGAGCTAGCGTAGTAGCTTCATCCCGTCTCCAATACCCTGAAGAAGTCCACTTACCTTTAACTGAGGTCACAAGTTCCAGCTCAGAATAAGAGGCACACATTCTGTGAATGAGGTCGATCTGCTCCAGTGTGAGACGTAAGGCATCCCGGTCCTGGGTCTGGCATGGTATGTAAGCGGACCAGAACTGGAGACAAAGCCAGGGGTTGGTTTGTGCAAGGCAGCTAGCTACCTGGGCCTTTAACAGCTGCCAGACTCATGGGTCTAGAGACTACATATAATGAATGCACTGCTTGCTCTGCGGTACTTTCATACCCACCTGCAGGATTACTATTGACTCCACTAGCCACAGCATCCTATCATGGCTTTTTTTTAAAGTCTCTATAGTAACTGAATTCCCATCTGATTAACTTGTCATTTCTGGGGCCCCAATTTCTCCAACCTTCGCCAGCAGCTCTGCTGTGTGTGTGTTACCTGAGCTCCCACAAAGCCATCTCTAAGCCTATTCAGGCTGGTCTGGCCATGGGTGAAGTTTCTCAGGTTAGCATCCTGCAGCCCATTCCGGTAAAATTGCCTCAGGACAAGAGGCAGGTCGTTGTGGCTGCAGGAGAGTCAAGAAAGAAGTTAGGTCGAACAAAATGGGTTGAGTGGTTCTGCCTGTAATCCCAGCACTCAGAAGGCTAAGGCAGGAGCATCATTTAGAGTTTTCAGGTCAGTCTAGGATACTTAATGAGTTCTTGGAGGGGCCTGGGTTAGAGAGAGGGGTGCACGTATACACTCTCCCTCTCCCCTCACCCCCACACTCTCACTGAGAGAACATATGGCTCCACCTCTTTGGTTTCCAGGTCTAGCAGAAATTCTAACAGCTACTCCTAACCCACATTGTTACCCAGACCATACTGAGATAACTTAAAGCCTGGGCGAGGCTGGGGGTCCCTACCAGAGAAGGAGTGATAGAGGAGAAATGCCACCCACTGATAATAGGAGACAGCATCTAGAGGTGGGTAGTAGGAGGACCTTTATTATTCTGGCAGGCTCAGAACCCTCTGCAGCTCAGGAGTATGCTCAGCCCGGTTTCATTCTGACCGGTCTCCAAGCCATCCTTAACGCACCCGTCTACAAGCGGGAAGTCTTTCATCAGGGCTCTCGCGCGATCTCGCAGGTCTGGGAAACTGGGGTTGCCGGCAGTGGTTGGGGTGCTGAAAGTGCCGTCGGGCTTGGTGAGGGCTTTGGGGGTGCTTGGTGCATTGGAAGCACCAAAGATGCCAGGTTTGGTTTGGGTAGGTGTTAGAGACTGTGAAGGCCCGCACAGCAGCAGCACCAACAGGAACACCGAAAGCATCTTGCTCAGGGCGGGGCCAGCGAGCACCGCTTGAAGGTCGCACCGATGAAGGTCGCAAAAGCCTGAGAGAGACAGAAGGTGACCATATAATCGCGATCCTCAACTCAAGCCACGAAGAGACCAGGTCTAGTGAGAAGGGGGTTTGAGGTCAACTGATTGGAGACAGCTCGGTGCATAGCAAAGCAGCACAGCACGGACGGACGCCAGGGGGACCTACAGGCTGTTATCCCAGTCTGTAAGGACGCCTCCGCGGGCTGGGCTGAGGCCTGCAGCACTCACTCAGCTCCTGTGTGGGCGTCCTTTGTCCCAAGCCCTCTCTCCTGTTTCCTCTTCCCAGGGAGCCAGTCCCGGTGCTTGCTGCCTGCTTCTAGGGATTGTTCTCCAAGAAAGTGGACCTGTGGTGCTTCTTTCCACACAGTGAGAGTGAGCCCTTTGCAGACCACATCTTGTCCCTGACTGTAGCCTTCTCTGACGTCTTCGAGGGCCACAAGTGCCCCGTGACACTGCCCTCTCCGCCCTCCCTGCCATTCCTTGAAGACTCCAGGCAGCAATTGGAAACTACTCAGAGCACACACCTCCATACCCCACCCCCATTCTGTCATCATTCGAGGTGACCACTGCTCCCTTCTCCGTGAACGCTGTACCTGCCCAGGACTTTCACGATGAGTATCTGAGTGAGCAACTAGGTGGTTCGGGGAATACTTACTTAGTAGTACAGGAGCAAAGTCAATCAGCTAGTGAAATGGAAGGAAAGGAAACACTTCGCTCGGCAGCAGAGTCCCCACCCCAGCACCTTCTTCCCCCGGGGTCTGCAGACTGACCTCCTACCTCAGCGTGGACGCCAGGACAGAAGTTTGAGTCCCCAGGCCCGGCACTTGTGTCTAGTGGCTTCATACACCTTATCTGTGGCTCTGCGGCCTGAGCGCCGCTAGAAACTTCAAGGGTTTAGTTCCCTTCCTTGCAGGCTCCACCCTGTTGCCAGCCTTCATGCTCACCCTCTGTGCTTCCTCCAGGAACACCCCCAGCTGCACAAGCACACCCGTGAGTGCATGCGTGCGCATGCACACACACACACACACACACATACATACACACACACACACACACACACACACACACACACACACACACACACACACACTGGGCATGTGTTTTTTTGTAGCATCCCATCATTTAAAGCGCCTTCAAGAACTGTGCTCACACTCCACCAGAAAACTTTTTCTGTGCCTGTCAGCCACTCAAGATTCTGTTCTGATTCCTGGCCCCTACTGGAGCGACTCCATTTTTTGGAATCTTCTTCAGGTGGCATGAGGACTTGGAAATGTAAGAAGCACTCTTAAAAAAGGAAATGGAGCCGGGCGGTGGTGGTGCACGCCTTTAATTCCATCACTCGGGAGGCAGAGCCAGGCCGGTCTCTGTGAGTTAGAGGCCAGCCTGGGTTACTAAGTGAGTTCCAGGAAAGGCGCAAAGCTACACAGAGAAACCCTGTCTCGAAAAAAAAAAACAAAAAAAAAAGGAAATGGAGGCCGGACATGATAGCGCATGCCTTTAATCCTAGGCAAGCAGATATCTGTGAGTTCAAGGTTAGCCTGAGCTATATAATGAGTAGGCCAGATAGAGTTACAAAGTGAGCCTTATCTCAAATGAATAAATAATATTAAAATTTAGCTGGGCGGTGGTGGCGCACGCCTGTAATCCCAGCACTCGGGAGGCAGAGGCAGGCAGATCTCTGTGAGTTCAAGGCCAGCCTGGTCTACAGAGCGAGATCCAGGAAAGGCGCAAAGCTACACAGAGAAACCCTGTCTCGAAAAAAAAAACCAAAAAAAAAAAAAAAAAATTTAAAAGGGGAATGAGCAAACTCTTTGAAAAAGGAGACGGAAGTCTTGGACTACTCAGCATGGATGTACCTGTGTTTTGGGGACTACACTAGTGCCTGTTCTCTGTCATAGTGCTGTGCTCTAGGCAGTAACTCCTTGGCTGCTACAGCTAGTAGTAGGTCTCACTAGCAGGCCCACTACAGAATGTGTATTCCTCTAGGGCTGAGCTTCAGACCAGGGCACCTCTTTGCCATTCCAACTCAGACCTGGCTCCTTCTCTTTCCCCTCCCCCACCGCCACTCTCTCATGCAGCCAAGTGGCAAAAGGGAAGAGAAACTCTTAGATTTGCTGGTCTCCATTTCGCAGTTGTGGCTTTGAGGGCAGACTTCATGTTTGTTCCATTCCTAATAAGCCCCAGGAAGTTGAGGGGTATAAAGGATGCAAATAAAGGAGGTTTGAAGAGATAGCTTGGTGGTTAAGAGCATCTGCGTTTGATTGCCAGATAAAATACGCATGAAATAAAATAAAATCTCAAGAAAGAAAGAAAGAAGGGAGGAAAGAAAGAAAGAGAAAAAGCCGGGCAGTGGTGGCACATGCCCTTAATCCCAGCACTTGGGAGGCAGAGGCAGGAGGATCTCTGAGTTTGAGGCCAGCCTGGTCTACAGAGTGAGTTCCAGGACAGCAAGGACTACACAGAGAAACGCCCCCCTCAAAAAAAAGAAAAAGAAAAGAAAAGAAAAGAAGAGGACTCCAAGTGTCCCTCTCTCACTCTCCATCTTATTTTCTGAGACAGGGTCTCTCACTGAACCTAAAGCTCACCATTGCAGCTCCCCTGACTGGCCAGCCTGCCCCAGGCCTTTTCCTGCCTCCGCCCTGCCCTCCCCAGTGCTGGGATTACAGGCTGATGCGTCTTACTTTTTACCTGTGTACTGGGGATCTGAACTCGGGTCCACATGCTTACACTTTACCAACTTAGCCAGTTCTCCCGCCTCTGCTACAGATTGTTTTTTAAATTTTTATTACATTTATTTACTTATTTCTCTGTGTGTGTACATGTGTGGAGGTCAGAGGAGAACTGGCAGGGGCTGGTTCTCTCCTTTCATCCTGTGTGTCTCAAATCAAACTCAGGGTGTCAAACTTGGCAGCAAGCACCTTGACATGCTGAGCTGTCTTGCTGGCCCTATTTTGTTTCAAAAGGTTTTTATTTATTTTTATTGTTTTGTGTGTCTGAATATTTTTCTTGCATGTATATGTGTCTACCACAAGCATGCCTGGTGCCCTCAGAGGTCAGAAGAGGGCATTGGATCCCCTGTGACTAGAGTTACAGATGCTTGTGAGCCACCATGAGGGTGCTGAGAATCTAACCCTGATCCTCTGGAAGAGCAACAAGTGCTATTAACATCTGAGCCATCTCTCAGCCATGGCCTTGTTTTAAAGCAAACCATAGGGCTGGGATCTAGCTCAGTAGTAGAAGGCTTGCCTAGAATGTGTAAAGCCCTAAGTTTGAGCAACAGCACTGGGAATAAGAATAAAAAATAAGTAAAGCAAATCTCAGACATGTATTTCATTCATATGTAAGCATTTATCTCAGAAGGCTAGAACTCTTAAAAAAACAAATCACTATAAAGGCATCTTTAAAATCTCAAAGTACAGTTTCTGAGATTAATTTTTTGTATGTGTGTATGTGTGTGTATTTGGCACACACGGCACAAATGTGGAAGTCAGAGGACACCCTGTGGGTATCAGTTCTCTTCTCCACCATGTGTGATCTGGTGATCAGACTCAGGCTTGGTGACAGGTGCCTTTGCCTGCTGAACAGTCTGCCATCCCTATTTTTATTTATTTATTTATTTATTTTGAGACAGAGTGTCACTCTGCAGTCCAGGCTTGCATGAAACTTAAATGTATGGCCCAGGTGACTCTCAGACTCACAGTAATTCCCTTGCCTCAGTCTCCCAAGTGCTGAGCTTACAGGTGTGTGTCACCATGCCAGACTTCAAGAAACATCTTTATTGTCCCAAACTATCATGTTCAAATCTTCATGATTGCTGACTTTCTATAATTATTTGAGTTTTAGTGTAAAAAATGATATAACATATTGAATGTGGTTGTCATGGTTTAGTTTGTAGTTCTAAAGAGAATTAATTATTTGGAATTGACTTATTGAAAAAAAATTGTTTTGTCCTTGGCGTTTTCCATGTTTTTGAGTTTGCTGATTATGTTCTACCGTATCTGGTGTGTTCCTCTGCTCCTTGTTTCTACTAGAAAGTGGAATATTGGGAAAGCTTTTTTTTTTTTAAACTTATTTATTTAGAGACGTGGAACTCTGTATCACCCATCATGTCCTTCAGCTTGCAGTGTAAACAATGCTTCTCCCTCAGCCTTCTGACTAGCTAGGGCTTCAGGCATGTACCAATGTGGCCAGTTACAGGAAGGGATAACTGTCTTTGTTTTGAGACAGAGTCTTACTATGTAGACTAGGCTGGCCTAGAACTCACAGAGACCTGCCTTCTTCTGCCTCTTAAGTGCTGGGATTAAAGACATGTGCCACTACACCTGGACTATAGGAAGCTCTTAAAACTGTGTTTTCAGGCCTTCACCTCTAAAACTTTTGCTGATTTGGTATTGGTGGTTAAATCTCTCCTTCTCAAGAGTAGGAGTCAGAAAGAAGGTGTACCTAGGTATCCTTGGTAGGCACAGGACTTTAGAAACCAGTTTCTCTGTGAAGGATTTTACTTTAGGGGAGCAGGAAGGCTTGAGGTTTGGTCTTGGACTTTAAGTCAATCGCTGTCACAGAAAATCACTCTATTGAACAGGAGGACCTTCCTAGTGCCATAAGGATCTGGAAATAAAGAAAAGTGTCTGTCTCTGCAGGAGGAGGGGAGGTTTGCTGGACTTCGTCCACAGTGTTCTCACTCCAGCCAGCAGGTCTCCCTGGGGCTCCTCAGCTGCCTCCTGAAACTTAGGCAGGAGCCTCCTTGGTCAGCCACTGCTTTTGCTTCTAGTTTTAGGAAGTGCAGCCGCTCCTGGCTTGTGCTGCTGCTGGCTGCTGGCAGGATTCAGAGCAGAGGTCTACTCCTAGAGACAGCCCCAGCTTGGGCCCTCTGTATCCTCTCTCTGCACTTGTCCCTCAACTCACAGCAGACTCTTCCTTTTTCCTGCCCAAGAAGAGACTCTAGAAGACTGAGGGAGGGTGGGCTGTTCAGAGCAGCTGCTCCTCTCTCTGAGGCTTCTTGCTCATGGCTAGTTGGCATGCAAGTGGGTTCCTGACTGGAGAGGGCACGGGCAGAAAGAACAGCTACGGTCCTGTCTACATCGGTGGTCAGTGGAGGTCATCACTGAAGAGGGCTCAGCCCTCTGAGGGTTCCTGACTGGAGAGGTCACAGGCAGAAAGAACAGCTACGGTCCTCTCTACATCGGTGGTCAGTGGAGGTCATCACTGAAGAGGGCTCAGCCCTCTGAGGCAGCTAACGGCTTGTCCTCTGGGCAGCAGAGAAGCTCAAGCAGCATGCTTCTATGGGGATACCCCTTTGCCACCATGGTTCATTTTCAGGCGAGGAATTTTGGCACTAGGACACCCTAGATCTTGGTCTGACTCTTCCTGAACTCTCTGTCTCTTGAGAGCCCGCCTGGGTGCTGGCTTCTCTTCCTCAGCCTTTGCAGGGGTGGCCAGCGGAGCATCCCCATAGACACGGTAGCCTCCAATCAGGCAGTATGTCTCTCCATGCCAGGCCATCTGGGCTTGTGCATGCTCTTTGTAGAGGACATGGTAGTATCCCGGGGAAGGAGGAGCTGTGGGAGGCACGGGTGCTGCAGAGAAAACCAGAACTCGTCAGTCACTTCTGCTCTGTGCTCTGTGCTGCAGAGCCCTTCCTCTCTCGTCCCTCTCTGGTTCTGGCTGAAGCCCTCCTATCTGCTTGGCATCCCAGACACAGCTCTGCCTGTCACTGCTATGGGTGCCCTTGAAGGGTGCTTCTGTAAAAGCCCTTGGCTTCTGGGGAGCCAGTGGCAGCTGTGGGAGGCCAGCATGTGTGGCCCATCTCCATAAAGAATGGCGGAACCTCAAGCTAGCTGCAGTTGAACCCCCGTGTTTCTCCTCCCGCAAATGAGAGGGACTTCTAAAGG